TTGAACGTCCTCATGACATGGCGGCCGACTTTTCCCAGAGGGAGTGATCCGAGAGAGAATGAACAAAGAAGATGCAGTGCCTTTTATGACCTAGTCTCTAAAGCTGCACTTTGCTACCTCTGCCGTGTTGTTTTTCTCCTAAAGTCTAGCCCACACTTAATAGAGGGAAATTTGGCTCCTTCCTTCCTTCCTCTCTCTGTCTGCCTCTTTCTTTCTTTTCTTTTCTTTCCTTCCTTCCTTCTTTCTCACTCTCTTGCTGTCTCTCTCCTTCCTTTCTTCTTCCCTCCCCCTCTCTGTCTGCCTTTTTTCTTTTTCTTTCTCTCTCCTTCCTTCCTTCCGTCTCCCTCTCCCCTCCCCTCCCTTCCCCTCCCTTCCCCTCCCCTTCCTTCCCCTCCCCTTCCTTCCCCTCCCCTCCCTTCCCCTCCCTTCCCCTCCCTTCCCCTCCCCTCCCCTCCCTTCCCCTCCCCTCCCTTCCCCTCCCTTCCCCCCCTTCCCCTCCCTTCCCCCCTTCCCTTCCCCTCCCCTCCCCTCCCCTCCCTTCCCCTCCCTTCCCCTCCCCTCCCCTCCCCTCCCCTCCCCTCCCCTCCCTTCCCCTACCCTCCCTTCCCCTCCCTTCCCCCCCTTCCCTTCCTTTCCCCTTCCTTCCCCTCCCTTCCCCTCCCCTCCCCTCCCTTCCCCTCCCTTCCCCTCCCCTCCCTTCCCCTTTCCTCTCCTCCCCTCCCCTCCCTTCCACTCCCCTCTCCTCCTTTCCTCTCTTCTCTTCTTTTTAAGGCAGGGTCTCGCTCTTTCACCCAGGCTGGAGTGCAGTGGCGCCATCTTGGCTCACTGCAACCTCTGCCTCCTGGGTTCAAGCAATTCTCCTGTCTCAACCTCCTGAGTAGCTAGAATTACAGGTATGTGCCACCATGCCCAAGTAATTTTTTGTATTTTTAGTAGAGATGGGCTTTCGCTTTGTTGGCCCAGCTGGTCTTGAACTCCTGGCCTCAAGTGATCTGCCTGCCTCAGCCTCCCAAAGTGCTGGGATTGCAGACATAAGCCACTGGCCAGAGCATAAGCCCCTGGCCAGTACCAGTTTTTGGTAAGTGGCAGGTCGCACCTGGCCTCAGAGGCAGGGCTACAATAGGGAGTGGTAAGGACTGTGGTTAGCTAATGGTGCACTCCCCATCTAAGGGGGCACTGGCTGTTCTTCATCATTGCAGGCTCTCCAGCCTGGGACTTAGGCTCATGTGACCAGATCAGCAGATTCTTCAAGAGAAGCTAGAAATTAGGATTTTATGTGAATTTTTATTTATTTATTTATTTATTTTGGAGACAGGGTCTTTCTGTGTCACCCCAGGCTGGAGTGCAGTGGCTCGATCATGGCTCACTATAGCCTCTTCCTTCTGGGCTCAACTGGTCCTCTCACCTGGTTCTCTCACCTGAGCCCCGTGAATAGCTAGGACTGCAGGCATGTGCCAACCATGCCTGGCTAATTTTTAAAATTTTTTCATAGAGATAGGGTTTTGCCATGTTGCCCAGGCTGGTCTTAAACTCCTGGGCTCAAGCGATCCTCCCTTCTTGACCTCCCAAAGTGCCGGGATTATAGATGTGAGCCAGTACGCCTGCTATATGTGAAATAGTCTTATATTTTTAAAGTTGTCAGCTAATTCTAATAAACAGCAAGTACTGAGTAGGCCTAAAATATACGTTCATGGTGAGAGTCTATCCGGGAGCTGGTTTTATCTCCCAGGCCTATTCCGTACTTTCGTGACCTTTTGTCACGACCTTTAACCCTCACCAGCACTGATCGGCTTGCTCATCTTTCTCTGCTACTGCACCCCAGCCCTGAGGGGCTCAGAGTCATCTCCGATTCCTTATCTGAATCTCACCACCCTGGTACATTCTTGTCTCATGGCAGGGGTTCAGTAAATATTTTGCAAGCCAGGGAGAGCTGAACCACCTGCCTGGGTAAGTGCACAGTTATGGTGGGCTGAATAACGGTCCTCTAATCATTTCCACCTCCTAATCCCCAGAAGTTGTGACTATATGGCCATACAGGGCAAAAAGGACTTTGCAGATATAAGCTCAGGATCTTGAGATGGGGAGATTGTTCTGGGTTGTCTGGGTGGGCCCCCATTTCATTGCAAGGGTCTGTATAAGACGGAAGCAGGAGGGTAAGAGGCAGTAGCAGGACATGTGGTGATGGAGGAAGAGGTTGGAGTGATGTGGGGAGGGGGCCAGAAGCCAAGGCATGCGGGCGGCCTCTGATCACTGAAAAGGAAAGGAAATTGATTCTTGCCTGGAGCCTCCGGGAGGAACCAGCCCTGTAAACACCTTGACTTCAGCTCTGTGAGCCTGATCTAGGACTTTTGATCTCCAGAACTGCAAAATCAGTGTGTTTTGTGTTGTTTTTAGGCACTTATTATGTGGTTATTCATTACAGCAGCCACAGGAAACCCATCTACCAGGGCTGCCAAGACTTCCTCGAGGAGGTGGCCTCAGTGTTCTTTAATTTCCCTGTGAGTCAGGAGGCTTTAGTGACAGAAACCTTAAGCAAAAGAAGCTTAAGCAAAAGAAGAGAATTTATTGGTGCACATCACTTCAGAGTCCAAAGATATCTGGTTTCTATGCTCACTGCTGGGGCTGAGACGATGGGTGTGGCTGGGAACGTGACTCCATCTCCTGGCCCTGCTGTCTTTCAAATGGGCTTCAGTGTCGGGAGGCTCCCAGATGGCGGCAGGGATGATGGCCCAGGCAGCTCCTGTCTTCCATGACACCACCTGGCAGCCCTGGCGAGGAGGAAAGGCTACGTCCTGAGTGCTCAGAAGAGGTCCTGGTGGGTTCTCAGTGGCCCAGATGGATCCTTTGTTGTTCTTGACCCAAATACGGCTGTTTGCCAGGGCCTGGGTCACGTGCTTACCCTGCGGCTGGGGTGGGATGATGCGATCGGAACAGCTTCACCTCTGCCAGATGGACTGGGGGTCAAAGAAGGAGGTTCGTTGAAAGAAAGTTGACATGTTCTTTTCAGTAGAAAGGGGAATGGAGACCAGGTAGCAAAAGCAATAAAAGCCCATGACGATCATCCCAGGCTCCCAAGTTTAGTTTAGTTTTGTTCTGAGTGAGGGTCTCACTCTGTCAGCTAGCCTTGAGTGCATGGCATGGTCATGGCTCACTGCAGCCTCCATTTCCTGGGCTCAGGTGATTCTCCCACCTCAACCTCCTGAATGAGGACTTTTTTTTTTTTTTTTTTTTTTTGGTAGAGGCAGGGTTTGACCATATCGCCCAGGCTGGTCTCAAACTCCTGGGCTCAAGCAATCCTCCCGTCTGAGCCTCCACAAGTGCTGGAGTTATAAGTGTGAGCCATGGCACCCGTCCCTCCAAATTTTTGATCCTAGAATTCAGACTTTCTTCTTGATAAGTGGTCGATTGTGTTTTGAAATGCCACAGACATCTCTATATCTAATTCTAATTTTGTTTTATTTAATTATCTTTATTAAATACATTTTAAATTACAAAGATGATAATATAGGCCGGGTGTGATGGCACTCACCTGTTGTCCTAGCTACTTGGGCGGCTAAGGCAGGAGGATCTCTTGAGCCAGGGAGTTTGAGGCTGCAGTGAGCTCTGATTGTACCATTACACTCCAGCCTGGGCAACAGAGCAAGACCTTGTCTCTTAAAAAAAAAAAAAAAGATAATATATTATACCTTGGGTAACTACTGAATGCATGCAAAAAATGTGTATAAAGAAATACTTAACCCAAGTCAGAAGCCTGAAGTTTATTCTTCCAAATCAATTTCTCTGCTCGGACACACAAGCATTGTCTTCCATTGGTTAATGTTGTGAGTTTTTACAAAACCAGCACTAAAAAACTTTTTCTCATGTCTCTGGAGGCTTTCCTCCAGAAGTCTGGGTTCAGGTCTATCTCATTTTAAAAGGGTTAATTTTTGAATGCTTTTGTAGGACTTAAAATTCAAATAGCACAAAAGAGTTTAAATAAAAAGTTTTCCCACACTCTTTTTTCCCATCCTTCCTCTTCTCTCCACTAAAGAATTGGGAGTCCCTGTGGACAGAATTTCTACATTTACAAAGATATATACATGGAAACGTTTTCCCTGTGAATGGGAGAGTATTTATTTTTATTTATCAGCGTACCCTGGAGACCGTTCTGTGTCAGTACGGAGCATGCTTCGTGGTTTGATTTTAGAGCTGCATTAAGCTTCTTTGCATGGCTGTAGCGTTGTTTATTTAATGAGTCTCCTATTGAAGGGCTCTCAGAATGCTCACAGTCCTTTGCTATTGCAAACAGAACTGTAAGGAAGTAGCCTTGAACAGTCATTCTGTGCAGGATGGGTGTCTGTCGGAGGAGGAATTCCTGCAAGTGGAATTATTGGATCAAAGGATGTGTGTGGGTTGGGCGTGGTAGCTCATGCCTGTAATCCCAGCACTTTGGGAGGTTGAGGTGGGTGGATCACCTGAGGTCATGAGTTCAAGACCAGTCTCGCCAATGTGGTGAAACTCTGTACTACAAATACAGAAATTAGCTGGTGGTGGTGTGTGCTTGTAATTCCAGCTACTCAGGAGGCTGAGGCGGGACAATTGCTTGAACTTGGGAGGTGGAGTTTGCAGTGAGCCGAGATTACGCCGCTGCACTCCGCGCTGGGGGAAAGAGTGAAACTGCATTTAAAACAAAAGAAAACAACAACAACAACAACAAAAAAAAACAAAGGGTGTATGCAAATCAGGTGTCCATGGATGCAATCAAAACGCCCTCTACTGAATTGGTGGTGAAGTGTACCACCTCCCTCAACCCCAAGCAAGATGCTAGAGCTGCCTGCTTGACCATCTTCACTGACGAGGTGGACAGATGGGTGCCAAACTGGATCTCACTGTGGCAGAACCAGTTTTCAAAATGCAGAGTCAGCTGGGCTTAGGCTGGGGGTTCGCAGGGGATTCTGGCCTCTCTTCCTTGTGTCAGCGCCTCTGAGATGTGTCCTCTGTCCTGGTCTGTGTCTCCACAGAGCAAGCTGGTGAAGTACTTCAGCCGGCAGCTGTCCTGCAAAAAGAAGGTGGCCTTGCAGGAGCGCAACGCTGAGCTGGACGGCTTCCCCCAGCTACGGCACTGGTTCCGGATCGTCGACGTGCGCAAGGAAGTCCTGGAGGTGATCTGGGGGCCCCGTGTTCCCTTGCCCCTTACTGGCCAGCTGCTGCTCCCTGGATGGCTCTTGGGACACAGGTTTCCGGCTGTGCCCAGCACAGTCTCTGGCACAGAGCAGGCTCTCAATCAATATGTGCTGGATCAATCAATATGTTCGGGGTCGCTGGTGCTGTCTGAATGGGGCCATCGAGAGTGTGCTTCCAGAGTCAGCCAGAACCCTTCAGCTCTGCCACATATTAAGAGTCATCTTGGCCAAATCACTTCACCTCTTAGTACAGTGCTGTCCAGTGGAACTTTCTGCTCTGATGGAAATATTTTCTTTTTCTTTTTTGAAATGGAGTCTCGCTCCCGTCCCGCAGGCTGGAGTGCAGTGGCGCCATCTCAGCTCACTGCAACCTCCACCTCCTGGGTTCAAGAGATTCTCCTGCCTCAGCCTCCTGAGTAGTTGGGATTACAGGCATGTGCCACCACGTCCAGCTCATTTTTGTATTTTTAGTAGAGACAGGGTTTTGCCATGTTGGCCAGGCTGGTCTCGAACTCCTGAACTCAGGTGATCTGCCCAACTCGGCCTTCCAAAGTGCTGGGATTATAGGCGTGAGCCACCGCACCTGGTCAAATGATGGAAATATTTTCTATCTGTGCTGTTGGATGTGGTGGCCACTTGTGGTGAGGACATGTGAGTCAGGAACTGAATTTTGAATTGTATTTAACATTAATTAATGGGGCCCATGGCTGCCATGTTGGACAATACTGTTTTACAGCATTAATATTCTCATCTGTGAAATGTACATGATGATTGTCCTCTCTTCTTAAATAGCCAACATTATAGAATGAGATGATTTTTATAAAATGTCAACTCAGCTGGGCGCAGTGGCTCATGCCTGTAATCCCAGCACTTTGGGAGGCCAAAGCAGCCGATTGCTGGAACACAGGGATTCAGGACCAGCCTGGGCAACATGGTGAAACTCCATCTCTAAAAAAAATACAAAAATTAGCCAGATGTGGTGGTGCATGCCTGTGGTCCCAGCTACTTGGGAGGCTGAGGCAGGAGGATCACCTGAGCCCAGGAGGTTGTGGCTACAGTGAGCCATGATCACGCCACTGCACTCCAGCCTGGGTGACAGAGTGAGACCCTGTCTCAAAAGAAAGAAAGAAAGAAAAAAGACTAGGCGCAGTGGCTAATGCCTGTAATCCTGGCACTTTGGGAGGCTGAAATGGTTGAATCACTTGAGGGTCAGGAGTTTGAGACCAGCCCAGCCAACATGACGAAACCTCATCTCTACTAAAAATAAAAAAATTAGCTAGGTGTGGTGGTGCACGCCTGTAGTCCCAGCTACTCGGGAGGCTGAGGCAGAAGAATTGCTTGAACCCGGGAGGAGATGTTGCAGTGAGCTGGAATCACGCCACTGCACTCCAGCCTGAGTAGATAGAGCAAGACTGTGTCTCAAAAAAAAAAAAAAAAAAAAGTTCAGTTTGTAGTCCGGCACCAGGCAGCACTCGGCAGATGCTAGCCTATTACTGTTGCGAGCATCTGACATCTCGTGTCCACCCTCAAAGATTGGACCACGTCCTTAACATCTTGAGGATAGTGAGATTTTCTTGCCCCTGGGATCCCAGAGACCAACCCGTATGCAGTGACAGGGCCAAGCCAAATCTAATAAATAAACCAAACCTAATTTATAAAACCAGCGGACATCACTGCGCCTGTCAAGCCAGGCATCGCGCTAAGGGCTTTACACTTAGGACCTCAGCTGCTGAGACCATTCAGCCTCCTCACAGCGACCTTTTGAGTAGGTGTGACTGTTATCCGCATTGTACAGAGTGGGAAATGGAGGCTCAGAGCTAAGTGACTTGTGTAGATGGTAAGTGGATGAGGCTAGCAGGATGTCCAGCTCGGATGGACAGCAAAGCCTTAGGTTGGAAGCACTGTTTTCCTGTTGCTTGGGCCTCTCTGAGGTGGGCAGAAGACGAGTTGTCCCCGTCAGTGAAACCAAGACTCCTCTCTCAAAGTACTCCCTGCTTCCTGCCTTGAAGAGCCTTTTTTTTTTTCTTTGAGACAGAGTCTCGCTCTGTCACCCGGGCTGCAGTACAATGGCATGATCTTGGCTCACTGCAACCTCCACTTCCCAGGTTCAAGTGATTCTCCTGCCTTAGCCTCCTGAGTAGCTGGGATTATAGGCACCTGCCACCACACCAGGCTAATTTTTGTATGTTTAATAGAAATGGGGTTTCACTATATTAGTCAGGCTGGTCTCGAACTCCTGACCTCTTGATCCACCCGCCTTGACCTCCCAAAGTGCTGGGATTACAGGCATGAGCCACTGCGCCTGGCCTGCTTCCTGTCTTTTTTAGACCTTGGCCGCAGGGACAAGAATCTCAGCCAGCCCTACCAGATCTAAGAATCCTGAGTTAGCTGCAACATCACCCCCACCGCTCCTCCAGGCCTTCACCCCACCCCATCTTGCAAATGTACTTCAGACCATGCACAATTCCATATTTCCTTACTTCATTCCCAGGATGGCCAGAGAGCCCAGATTAGTTTTCTGCAAATATCTTGAGAATGCGTGGTCCTGTATAAGGACAGACAGTGTTTTATTTGCATGGCGCAGGGCATTTTTTTTTTTTTCAGAGGCTTCGGGATCATTTATTTATCAAGTGCCACTTGTGGGGGCAAATAAGGCAGAAACGATTCCAGACCAGGGGTTGAAAACTGGTGGATCTGATATACAGACACTTTTTTTGTTGTTGTCTGGCTAATATGATGTTGGGACATTTATTTTGAGCCAGTACTTAAAAACCAAAAGAGTCTGCCTAAAAAGCCTAGATCTCTGGCTTCACTTACAAAAATCAGATGTGTTGGCCACGCTGAACTGAGCTCCTGTCTGGCAGCGATCTGCTTATTTACATTTACCTGGCCTGCAGGGACCTGAGTTTCAGTTCTTGCCATAGTGAGCATCACCACCCAGGGAGTGGGCGGGAGGAGAGCTGGGGTTTCTGTTCTGTCTGCAGTTCAGGTATGTGTCCACCAGAGGACCCCATTCTGTGAAGGGTCCGAAGTATGGAGAAAGCTCCAAAGCGAAACATCTGGGTTAGAATCCTGGCTCCACCAATTAATTACCTGCGGTGTGACCTTAGGCAAGTGGTCTAACCTCTCTGAATTTTACTGTCCTAGTCTGTTAATGGTGATGATAAAAGTGCCTACTTTTGTGATATTAAAAGGAAATCTATCACAAACCTTAAAACAGTGTTCCATCCATTTCAGCTGTTATTATTATTATTTCAATTATTATCAAACAGAGGTGCGTCTGCTCTTTTGGCCCAGGTTTGTTAAGGCTTTATCCATTTTTGATGTTATAAAAATGCTACTTTTATGATATTTTGTGATCTTAAACTTCAGAGTAAATTGAAATATATACATATGTAAATCATAAGATTAAAATGCGCAAGTGAATCCTGAAGCAAAGAGGAGAATTCTTTTATGTCGGGAATCATCCCCTCCACACATGAGTCATTCTGTCCCTTCGGATCCTGGGCTGGGTGCGGTGGCTCATGTCTGTAATCTCGACACTTTGGGAAACTGAGGTGGGAGGATCACTTGAGGCCAGGGATTCGAGACCAACCTGGACGACACAGTGAGATCTTATCTCTATAAAAAATTTAAAAATTAGCCAGGCGTGGTGGCACATGCCTGTAGGCCCAGCTACTCAGTAGTCTGAGGTGGGGTGGGGGTTGCTTGAACCCAGGAGTTTGAAGCTTCAGTGAGATACGATGGTGCCACTGCACCCCAGCCTGGGCGACAGAGTGAGACTCTTGTCTCTATTTAAAAAAATAACAACTAGAAACAGATCCTTGTTCGTCACCCTTCTTAAAGGGGCTCACCTGCAATGTGTCCCTATTTGAGAAAGCCTCTAAGTGACTCCACTGCCTGCCCTGGTGAGTTGACAAGGCACTGATTGGGTTTCGGCTTTTGGCTCACAGCTCACTTTTTTGAAGAGAATTTTTGTGCTGGGAGTTTTCTTGTTTCTGGCTATCAGTTTAATGTGGGAGCTGTATATTGTTGTAATACACAAACCTGACCATAAGAGGGCAGATGTGTTCCGCAATACTGCCCTAGAATCACCGTATGTAGATAGAGATGTATAAATAATCTTTTTTTTTTTTTTTTTTTTTGAGACAGAGTGTCGCACTGTCGCCCAGGCCGGAGTGCAGTGGTGCAATTTCGGCTCACTGCAGCCTCCCCCTCCCAGGTTCAAGCAATTCTTCTGCCTCAGCCTCCTGAGTAGCTGGGATTACAGGCATGCCACCATGCCCTGCCAATTTTTATATTTTTAGTAGAGACAGGGTTTCACCATGTTAGCCAGGCTGGTCTTGAACTCATGACCTCAGGTGATCTGCCCACCTTGGCCTCCCAAAGTGTTGGGATTACAAGCGTGAGCCACTGCGCCCAACCAGCCAGAGATATTTAAAACCCTTATTTACTTTGGGAAGCTGAGATGGGTGGATTGCCTGAGGTCAGGAGTTCAAGACCAGCCTGGCCAACATGGTGAAACCCCTGTCTCTACCAAAAATACAAAAATTAGCTGGGTGTGGTGGCACGTGCCTGTAATCCCAGCTACATGGAGGCAAGAGAATCACTTGAACATGGGAGGCAGAGGTTGCAGGGAGCCAAGATCACACCATTGTACTCTAGCCTAGGTGATGAGAGCAAGACTCTGTCAAAAAAAAATCCCTTATTTAAGTAGTAATAGTATATCTTAAAATGTTGAATATTAAGTTCTATAAAAGAAGACATATATACATACATATATAGATGCATAAATATAGATGCTTGACAAATTTTGAGGTGTGTCCATATTAGGGTGTCTAGGGAGATACTGTTTTTGGGACATGGGGCAGTGGTCACCTGCCCACACATTAATTTGGGATGCCTACTTTTTCACGATCCCTTTTCCCCACTTCACGCTATACTCCAGCGCTTCCACTTTGCCTTAGGATGCAAAGCCATGCCCTGTGGCGCTCACAAATGGCCTAGTTTCATTTCCAGCACGGAGCATTTTCAGCCTTTTTCCCATTAGGGTTTCCGAAGACCAGTGTAAGCCCTAGACCTTGCAGCCAGAGAAGAGAGGAAGGAGAGAGGGGGGCCCAGTCCCCAGGCTAATCTGCATTGTACTGTGCTTGCTCTGAGTCTGTGCTGGGATTTTAGATGAGTCCCTTCAGAGCAGGAGGCACTAAAACCCATGCATGGGGTCCTGCCTTCTAAACATGCAGAAGCTGGATGGAGAGACAGGAAAAGTGCTGATGCCATGCAGGGTAGTAATTATAATAGCACCAAGCACCTGCACTACCTTGCCAAGTATGGGCGCTTAGGATTCCCACTTTATAGATGAGTCAACTGAGGCCCAGAGAGGTTGAGTGACTGGTCAGAGGTCATCTAGCTAACGAGTGGCAAACCCAAGATTCAGAGACCCCACTGTCGTGCAAAGCGTTTACACAGCGGCGTGTTCTCCTCTAGGCACTCCTAGAGGGCAGCGTGGAGGCGGAGTCGCCGCTCCTGCCCCGCGGTTGACAATCCGTTCTTCCCCTCACCTAGGAAATCTCCCCTGGCCAGCTGAGCCTGGAGGACCTCTTGGAGATGTCGGATGAGCAGGTGTGTGCGACCGTCGAGAAATACGGAGCCAACCGGGAGGAGTGTGCCCGCCTCAACGCCTCCCTCTCCTGCCTCAGGAATGTCCACATGTCAGGTGAGCAGGCCCTGGGGTCCGGGGTGTGGATGGAGACTTGTCCCCAGCACAGCTGCCACGCTCCCTCGGCATCCCGTGCCCGCCCCTGCAGGCGAGGACCAGGCAGCATCAACCCTGGGGAGCAAATCCGGCTCGCAGGAAGGCAGCATGGGCCTGGGATTTGGAGGCCAGAAGACACGGACAGAGGCAGCTCTTGGATTTGAACTCTTGCCCCAGGAAGGTCTGCTGAGATTTAGAGTATCTGGTTCTGGAAAATTAAGAGTCCAGATATGAAAATAGTGAGTAGGCACAGGAGACCAGTATCTTCTTACTTTCGATATGCTGAATTGCCTTTGCATTTTGGGCCCATGTCTAGCTTCTATTTTTTTAACGTAATTAATATGCATTCATTGTAACATAAACCAGAAAGCAGATTTAAAAAATTACCCTAAGCCCCACCCTCTAGGTAACTGCTGTTGTCATTTTGGTATAATTTTTCGTGACAAATGGGTATATGTATACTTTTAAAAAATAGAATTGTCCGCACGTATTGCTTAAAATGTTTTTATTTTTGTTTTTTATTTTTTTTGCCTAATAACCTCTGTGACTTGTATCAGTTTGGGGGCCAACTATATTGTCATCCCTCCTGGATCTTTTCCATTAATTGCTCAGATACCTGTTTGTCTTTATTAGCAGAACAGCAAATATCCTCTTCCTGAGGCTTCTCTCTAGCCTCATGATTTTCCTGCAAATTCTGGGGCCGGTCCGTCCCAAGGGAACGGCTCTGAGAACACCAGCCAGTGTTAGTGGCCGTCAGCACGGTGGTTTCAGTTCCCACCACAAGGTGTCGCTGTTGAGCATCAGTCTGGCAGAGTCAGGTGGAGGCTCATGAATACCTTTGCTTGATTCAACCTGAGATATGCAACAAACATTTGTTGAGTATTGCGCTGGACATGGAGAAGTCTACTAATCTGAGTGGCTGTGGGGTGCCAGCAGGGCTGAGGAGGCAGTGGTGAACAACACAGAACATACTTGAAACAGGTCATCGGCCCAGTCTTCCATGCGTGCCCTTTTATATTTTTTCTTGCTGGCAGAGACTGATTTGGGGCACAGTCATCATCAGAAGGGAATCATGTGACCTGGCACACTGATTCACACCTGTAATCCCAGCACTTTGGGAGTTCAAGGCAGGAGGCTCTCTTGAGCTTAGGAATTCCAGACCAGCCTGGGAAACATGGTGAAACCCTGTCTCTACAAAAAATACCAAAAATATTTGCCATGTGTGGTGGCACATGCCTGTAGTCCCGGCTACCCAGGAGGCTGAGGCTTGGAGGATCGCTTGAGCCTGGGACATGGAGGCTGCAGGGAACCATGATCACACTGCTGCACTCCTGCCTGGGTGACACAGCAAGGTCCTGTCTCAAAAAGTGGGGGGTGGATCATGCCCTGGGAGCTGTTTGTCTGGTGCGTTGAAGGATGTTTGGTTGGAAGCATTCCTGATATTTGCCCAAGAGATTCCAGTAACATCCCCCAACTTTCAGTCACGACACTCAGAAATATCCCCAGATATTTCAAAATGTTCCCAAGGAGGCAAAATTGCCCCTGAACTGAAGAGCTGTAAAGGTCATGTTATTCTTTACCTCAAGCCCAATGGTACTGAGTCACCTAACATGAGTGTGGTTGACAGGGCCTCTCAGTCACCCGGTACATACAAAATCTGCTCCAAAGGTGACTTTCTCTCTTTACCCACAGTGAGAAGCAGGTGGCAGTTTTCTCTCTTAAAAAAAAATTGCAGGCCAGGTATGGTGGCTTACACCTGTAATCCCAGCACCTTGGGAGGCCAAGGTGGGGGGATTGCTTGAACCCATGAGTTTGAGACCAGCCCAGGTAACCTAATGAGACTCTACCTCTACCAAAAAAAAAAAAAAAAAAAAAAATAGCTGGATGTGGTGGCATGCACCTGTAGTTCTAGCTATCTGGGAGGCTGTGGGGAAAGGATTGCTTGAGCCCTGGATGTCAAGGCTACAGTGAGCTGAGATGCTACCACTGAACTCTAGCCTGGGACACAGAGAGATATTGTCTCAAAAAAGAAAAAATTGTGGCAAATTACAGTGTTATGTCCTAAACATCTACCTTTGTCAATAAATGCACTCACTTCTTATTTTTAATGGCTGAATACTAACACCATTTATTCAACCAATCTCCCAGTTTTGGAAATTTGGTTTAGATCCATATTTTTCCTGTCGTAAGCAACGCTGCTGTGAATATCCTTGAGTGTTATCTTTGGGGATCCCTTGTGTCTATTCCTTTAGAGTGAATTCATAGAAATGGTGTTGCAGCAAAACATTTACATATTTTGGCCGGATGCAGTGTCTCACACCTGTAATCCCAGCACTTTGGGAGGCCAAGGTGGGCAGATCACCTGAGGTCAGGAGTTCGAGACCAGCCTGGCCAACATAGTGAAAACCCGTCTCTACTGAAAATACAAAAAAATTAGCCAGATTTGGTGGCCCATGCCTGTAATCCCAGCTACTTGGGAGGCTGAGGCAGGAGGATCACTTGAACCTGGGAGGTGGAGGTTGCAGTGAGCTGAGATCACACCACTGCCTGGGCGACAGAGTGAGACTGTCTCAAAAAAAAATTACATATTTTAAGAATTATAGTGAACATTGTCATATTGCTTTCCAGAAAGTTAGTACCCATGTATACTCCGTGTGCCTGACAGTGAGCATTTGAGACTACGGGAATCGGGACTTATGTGTTTAATGGATACAGAGTTTCTGTTCTGCAAAATGAAGAGTTCTGCAGACATATGGTGGTGATGACTGCACCATGATGTGAATGTACTTAATGCCACTGAATTGTACACTTAAAAATCATTTAGATGTGCTGGACACAGTGGCTTATGCCTGTAATCCCAGCACTTTGGGAGGCCGAGGCAGGTGAATGTGAATTTCAGAATTCAGTCTCATCACAGAGTTACTACTGAGTTTGGCAAAATCCTTTAAAGTGAGATTCCAGTTTGCGTGAGAGGGGCATTTATGTCAGCCTTACGGGGGCCAGAATAGTTATGTTTTTGTGACATCCTGGGCTGCATGAGACCATGAGAGGTCTGATACGCTGATCTTTTTCAAAATGTTTTTGATCCAGATGCATGTACAAATGTAATTTATATTGTGACCCCCTCACACATAGGTACACATACACATAAACACACGTAGCTACATGTACATAATTGTAGCACGTTTCATGAAAAATGCTCCTCCTTCCTATGCATGATGAAGGAAGATGTTGTAAATTCATTCCTGTTCTATTCCGTATCACTTAGCAGATGCTGATAATGGCCACTTTCTTTCTTTCCCTCCCTCTCTCCCTCCTTCCTTCTCTTCCTCCTTCCCTCTCCCCCCTCCCCCTCCCTCCCTCTCTCTCCTTCTCTCCTTCTCTCTCCTTCTCCTCTCTCTCTCTCTCTCTCTCTCTCTCTCTCTCTTTCTCTCTTTCTTTCTGTCTCTGTCTCCCAGGCTGGAGTGCAGTGGCATGATCTTGGCTCACTGCAACCTCCGCTTCCTGGGTTCAAGTGATTCTCTTGCCTCAGCCTCCTGAGTGGCTGGGACTACAGGCATGTGCCACCACAGCTAGCTATTTTTTTTAATTTTTTTATTTTTAGTAGAGGTGGGGTTTTACTATGTTGGCCAGGCTGGTCTCAAACTCCTGACCTCAGGTGACCCACCTACCCTGACCTCTCAAATTGCTGGGATTACAGGTATGAGCCACTGTGCCTGGCCTGCCACTTTTTAAGTTTTTTTGAGACAGCGTCTTGCTTTGCTACCTGGGTTGGAGTTCAGTGGTGTGATCATAGCTCACTGCAGCCTTGACCTTCTGGCCTCAAGCAATGATCCCTCTACAATGATCTGAGCTAAGCCTCCGCAGTAGCTGGGACTGCAGGTGCACAGCACTGCACCTGGCTGATTTTTGTAGAGACAGGGTTTTGTCATGTCGTTGCCCAAGCTGGTCTCAAAATCTGGGTTCAAGCAGTCATCCTGCTTCGGCCCCCTACAGTGCTGGGATTACAGGCATGTGACCCCATGCTTGGTCAGCCAGCACTTTGATTCCACACCTCTCTGTAGTTTGAACCTACGCTGATCTCACTGATCCTCCTGCCTCCACATAGGCCTCCCTCTGGACTCTTCCCAGGCTGCCAGGACTCAGTCTTCCATGTCCTGTCTCAGACGCCAGCCTTAGGGCCACCGGGACCTTGAAAGCAAGGCCCAAGTGCTCCATTTTTACCCAATTCCTACAGCGCTTTGTGCTGAGGTCAGCTCAATTCAGACAGTACCCAGCTCTGATCCTTAACACTGAACTTCACCCATGCTGTTCCTGCAGGCGATGGTGCCACTTAAAACATTTTAATGCTTACCTTTCTTGGGTAGCAATTTTATTTTGGTTTATTTTTTGAGACAGAGTCTAACTCTATTGCCCAGGCTGGAGTCCAGTAGTGCAATCTTGGCTCACTGCAACCTCCACTTCCCAGGTTCAAGCGATTCTCCTCCTGAGTAGCTGGGACATGCGCCACCACACCTGGCTAATTTTTGTGTTTTTAGTAGAGATGGGGTTTCACCATGTTGGCCAGGCTGGTCTTGAACTCCTAACCTCAGGTGATCCACCTGCCTCAGCCTCCCAAAGTGACGGAATTACAGGCATGGCCACGATTTGTGTTTTGAATGAATGCCTGTCTCTTCCAGTAGACTGTAAGCTGGACGAGGGCAGGGATCATACTTGTTTCTGCGCACTATTTGATACCCAGGGTGAAGGTCATTATCTAGCACATAATAGTAGTTCAATTCAGATGTATTTTTTTTGGAGATGGGGTCTTGATCTGTTGCCCAGGCTGGAGTGTAGTGGCACAATCTTGGCTCACTGCAGCCTCTACCTCCTGGGCTCGAGCAACCCCCCACTCAGCCTCCTGGGTAGCTAGGACTGCAGGCACGTGCCACCATGCCTGGCAATTTTTAAAAATATTTTTT